GGAGACAGGGAGACAACCCATAATCACCAGGACACTTCCAGTCCCTGCAGATCCCAGTTAGGTTTCAATTTGTGTTTTCGAAGCAAATTCTTCTGTTTGAATTTTTGATATCCTCCCATTATTTTCCCACTTGGTTGAAACGTTCAGTCCTACCTCTCTGACGGTGCCACAGCGAGTGTATGGAATGTCAAATGACACATGATTTGATGTGATGTTGGGTGTGCAAAAGGGGTCGTTCAGGGTGAGGTTCCAAGCAGAGTAGCCATGGGACTGAAGGAAGTATCTGCTCACAACCACGTGCATGTAGTTTGGCAAACACAGCAGGGCTAGTGGATAGCAAAGAAGATACATTACAAGCTCAGGGAAGTGACCAAAAATGTTGTAAGTAGTGGATTAAATAAACACTATCTCTTGCAGCTGATAAAGCTGAAAGAGTTCAGAATCCAAACCATGGACTTGAATCTCCATGAAAACGCTACAGATCTAATTTAAAACAACATTAACAAGATTAACAATCAGTGAATCAAAAAGTAATTGAAAAGCATGTTTCTGCTTTAAGGATGAACTTACTGGTGCTGTCATCAGCTGGGGTGGAATGATAGTTGGCCTGAAACCCTCTGTATGTGTATCGGGAGTTACTGTGGAAGCGGACGGTCAGCAGGTTTGAGGACGATGTGTACATGGGGCGATAACCAGAACAAATCTTCCCAAGGACAGGAGAGGTCTGAAGGGGCCCATCATAGATTTCCACATAGTCAGAGAGGCATCTGCCACCTTCCATCCTGGGAAGCAGCATAGCTATTTAGTTTAATGCTTCATTTTTATGTTCTTTTGTTTTTGTTTGCTTGTTGGCTCATTTTTTTTTTTTTTAGTCAGATTAACTCTCTCTAGCAGAAGAATACATTTGATTGATATGACTGTCAAATCTTTGGAACAGAAGCTACAGCCTCCAATTTCTGTCTCAGGAGATGCTAGCCACATTTTTGAATAAATAAGCAAAAATGAACACATTATTCATCTCCAGATGTACTAAAAGCTTTGATGAAGACCCTTGAAATGAAGTAGGCATTTGCTTAGTAACTCCAAGCTGTCAATTCCATACATTTATCTTCCCAAGTAATAAATTCTTACTTACTGAATATCTGTAAATACAAGTGTGACACGGAAGTTGCTCTTTACATGTATTTCCCACACACAGTTGGCATTGTTTGGATAATTTCTGGGGTAAAATGGGCTCTGTAAGGTACCAGATGAAGAGGAAAGCAAGCCACCACAAGAATAATCTTCTGCAGGGAAAAATACAAGAAAAAGATACGTATGCACATTTAGGGGTGTGTTTGGAGTATGTCTGTGTGAAGTTTATGTCTAATCACAGAGATAGTGACTTTATCAGCTTCAGTGGCCTCTGTATTAGGTTCATATACATCTGAATGAAGGTTAGGAGATGCTACCCACATTGAGCAGATTATAATGCTGATCTGTAGTGCCTGCATTATCAGGACACAAATATTTGCCACAGAACTGCACAGATTTTGAGGCAGGAATTCTGGAAATCAGCTACTCCTTGAAAGAGGAAATCCCCATTACAATTGCTAATGACCAAAGGGAAGAGGGAAAAAAAAAATCAAATAATTTTGTTTCAATAAAAAGAATGATGATAAATATCCAATTCATAAATTTACCCAAGTCCTTCAGACCTACCTGAGGTTGTTAACGGAGTGGTCATCCAGTCGGAAGTACTGTTGGGAGCTGTAGGGAGAGAACAGCAGGTAGACACTCAGCATTTTGCCTGAGAGAAGCAGCCCCTCTGGGAGTTACCTGTCCCCAGAAGGGCTCCTGAAGGGACACTGGAACACCAGACCCACAATCACTACCTGGACACATGGCAGGATCCTGTGTGGCTGCACCTCCAAGCCTTCCCCCTCCACCCACCAGCCCAGGCAGCTTGTGCTCTGCTCAGCTCCCATCAGCAGAGCTTTGATCTCCTCTGTTAATGGTCAGCAGGGTGGCACAGAGTGGACCCTCTGCATGTTTGTTGGTGACACCAAACTGGGAGGAGGGGACAGCCAAGCAAATGGTGCTGCTGCCATCCAGAGAGAGCCTGGCACTGCAGACAGAGCCTTGCTCCTCCACAGCTGCCAAAAGGGGCTCACTGCTCTCTGGCTGAGCACATCAGCTCTCTTTATTTTGGGAAAATGAGAGGCCTTTGGCCTCTGCAGCAATGAGTGTGCCAGGGCTGAACAACACCTCTGCCTACAGCATAGGCCAGGAAAATTGATGACAGCTCAGTGGCATCACTGGGGGAGGTGGAAAGAGTGCCATTCCTGCCCATCAGGCAAAGAAACAGTGTCTGGCAGCAGCTTCATGGCCATCCTGTTCTGAAAAATGCCCTTGAGCCAGGATGCCTCTAGCTGGGGACAGAGGGTCTGCATGCCCACAAGGTGTTGAGAGGCACCAGAACCTCTTTGTGATTGAGTTTGAGCTTCTATCCCGGTGAAGAGTAAAGGACAGCTCTAGTCTTACCCACGGTGGTATGGAAGTCAAGAAATGATGAGTAGTAGGCGTGGAAGCCTCTCCTGCTGACGCTGCCATCACTGCGGAACAGGACGGTGAGCTGGTTCCCGGATGAGTTGAAGACGCTGTTGTTGTCCCTGCAAACAAGGCCGAGGCGCCAGCTCTGGGTGGACCCTCCGTCGTACACCTCGATGGCATCGTAGGAGCAGCTGTTGCCCTCCAGCCTGCAGGGAGAGGAGGATGTCTGCACCACAGGCTGCAGGAGCTGCGGGGCCCAGCAGCCCGGCCCCACGCCCACCTCGCCCCAGTGCTCGGGCAGGGACTGCAAGGCCCCACAGTGGGGACGAAGCCGGCCCTGAGCCCACAGCCAGCGCCCGGCTGGACTCACTCCACGTCCGTAAACTGGAGCTGGATCCTGCGGGCCGGGTCCCGCAGCCGGATGTGCCACACGCAGTAGGAGTTGTGAGGGTAGGAGTTGGGGTACCCCGGGCTCTGGAAGGTGCCGGACAGTCCCTGAAGTAAGCCACCACAGGAGGAGTTCTCTGAGGAAAACAGCAGAGCATGGGCAGAGAGCTCTTATCCCATCACCAGAATCTGTCAGGGAAGGGCATAGCCCCACCAAAGAGGCTGTGCCACAGCCCCATAGGGACCCTCCCTCCTGGGCACCCCAAAACAGTGCCCCTGCATCCCCCAAGCACAGGGCACAGGTTGTGCTCAGCTCATGCAGTAACCCAAAGCCATGGGGTTTTCCAGCATGGGGCTGGCTGTCCAGTGGAACACCTGGGGAAGGAGATCATCAGACCCCTTAACTCCTCTGGACTTAAATGTGGTCAGTGACAGAGGGGAAGTTGAGCTGGAGGCATCTGGTGCTGCAGGGAGAAACCAGCAGGGTTGACTCCCAGCACTTTTCCTAGGAAACACAATCTGCTGGGAGTCAACCCTCTCTAAAAGCCAGGCTCTTTCCAGCAGTGCCCAGCGAGGGGATGAGAGGCTATGGACACAAACTGAAACACAGGAGATTTCATCTGACCATCAGGAGACATTTTTTCTCTGTGAGGGCAGACACAGGTTGCCCACAAAGGTGGCAAATAGCCAAGAGCCCTCTGGATATGGTCTTGGGAAGCCAGTTCCTGCTGATCCTGCTTTTAGCCAGGGGCAGGACCAGATGTACTCCAGAGATCCTTTCCAACCTCACCATCCTGTGATTCTGTGATGTGTAACTGAGGGCAGAAGCTAGTCCAACCCCACAGCTCCTCTGGATTTACCATATGTTGTCCATGGCCTGGAGAACATCAATCTGGAGACAGCTGGTGCTGCAGGAGAGAACAGCAGGTGAGCAAGCAGTGTTCTGTCTAAGAGGATCATCCTGCTGGGAGTCCCCCCTCTCCAATGGGAACCCCGTTGAACCCAAATAAAAGCCAAAGCCCACAGTCAGCACTGGAATGTGGCAGGACTGAGATGGCTGCAGTGCCAACACTTGCTCAAGGACATTTTCTGCAGCACCATGAAAACCAGTGCCAAACCTCTCCCACAGAAGTGGCTGCTCAATCCCAAAGGATCCCAAGCAATCCCACATCTCCCTGAATGTTAGAGATGTTAGCCAAGGTCTGTAAGTGCAGCCTGCACAGAGCATCCCAGAGAAAGAAAACCCCGTAGAAAAGCTGTATATAAACAGAAATCTCTGGTTACCTGTTGGAGGCACTGTTATTCCAGAGTCTGGAAGGAGAAGACAAGAGGGTGTGAGGCACTTGGACTGCTTGGCTCCCCTTGGAGCAAGTATTTAATTTCCAGGAAAGTTATGGAGGGACTCATGGGGAGGTTGGCCTGACTATAAACTATCCCTCCCCTCACACCCTGCTCTCTGCAGGAAATCCCAGATTTCCCAGGTACAGTCTACAAATACGAGATTAATGCTCCCCCTGAAACACCACCCTCTGCATCAGGGACATGGACCCATGATCTGCTGCTGCCCTGCTGAGCACGGAGCAAGGGCTGGACAGCCTTCATCCCACCTCACTCCAGCTTTTCATCAGGAAAATGCCACCAAAACACAGACACCCACCTGAGCACACGACAGAAGCATCTCCATGGTGGCAGACACGGTACTGGTAGGTGTAGGGGCAGTGCCACAAGTAGCGCTCGGTGCCTGCACAGTTCACCTCAGTAATCATGTAGGGGTAGAAGTCGTTCGAGGGGAAGGAGTGTGTGTCTGTGAGAGGGGAGCCACAGCCCAGCTGCCTGCACACCACCTCGGCGTCCTGCCTGTCCCACAGGTACCCACACACCTTCTCCCAGGCTCCAAAGTAGTAGATCTCCACATTGCCTGCACACCAGTCGGGCCCACCGCTCAGCCTCAGCTGCAGATCTTTGAGAGAATCAAACCCCTTGGTCAAGCTGGTGGTGCTCTGGGTCCGGCTAATGACATCCCACATCTTCTCTGGGCATGTCTGCATCCACCTGCAGCACAGCCAGGAGAACAAGCAGGAAAAAAACACAGAGATCAAGAGAATTAGGACCAAGTCTTTGGGAGCTCTGTCAGTGCTCTCTACCCTTCCTTCAGTGAGTCAAGATCCCACTGAAGGGCACAATTGGTAGAAGAGCTTACTTCTAGCAAGGAGACTGATTGCTGGAGAGCAAAGCCATCCCCAAATTCCTGCCTCCCAAATAATTTACTTCTCATGTACATCTCCATCCCCATCCTAAAGAAAACATGAGCTTTTTAATCATACTAATTTGTTCCCAAGAATAAATACTATGACAAAACATAAATCTGTCACTATTATATAAAGTAGCAATCTGGTAAGTTCTACTTACTAGTCGTGTGGTCAGGAGTTGTTGGGGGACCACTTGTTTCTAGAGAAGAAAAAAATAGGATAGTATGTATAGGTCAACAAGGCAAATTTAACACGAAACTTCCTCAAACCTTGTTTCAATCTCTAGCAATTTATAGCCAATGAACTTTAGATCCAGAAGATTTCTGTCTATTTTAGTAACTCTCAGCACTTTTTCCTTCCATTAACCATCAATACCCTTTGTGAACCCACCAAAACCTGCAACTGGTCCAGAGAGTGCCTTGAAGTGGGAGCAGTTTTCTCAGGTCACCCAGCCCCCTGAGCTGGAAGACAGGGACAGGGAGCAGAAGGAACCCCCCATAATCCATGGGGAAACAATCAGTGACCTGCTACACCCCTTGGACATTCACAAGTCTGTGGGGCTGGATGGGATCCACTCAAGGGGGCTGGGGGGGCTCAGCCTGGAGGAAAGAAGACTCAGGGGGAACCTTACTGCTCCCTACAGCACTGAAAGGAGGTTGCAGCCAGGTGAGGGTCAGTCCCTTCTCCTGAGTAAGGAGTGATAAAACATAGCCTCAAGTCAGACTGGAGATAAGGGGAAATCCCTGGAAAGAACAGAAAGAAGGAATTTCCTGGAAAGAACAGACTGCCCCAGGCACTGGTGGAGTCACCATGCCTTGAAGGGATTTAAAAGACATGTGAATGTGGCACATGTAGACATGTAAATGTGTGGGACTGCTGGGTTAATGGTTGAACTCGATCATCCTAAAGGTCTTTTCCAGCTGGAACAATTCTTTGATTCTATCTGCTGGTTTCACCTGATGGATCAGGAGCTGTTAAATCTACTACTGATGTGAGAATAGGCTGTGAAAGGGAGAAAGAGGCAGTTTTTCTCCAAATCAAGAACAACTGAAATGAAGATGACATGAAATATCTGGGGAGGTTGTCAGAACAAGGCCAGTGACAAGGGAGGCTGCACATCTCATTAATTTCGTCGTGCACAGCTACAGGTAAAAATGGGGTCTCCAAAAGCTCCCTGTCCCAGGTTCTGCTCACACCTCCACCACATCCAAGCCACCTCTCATTCCCTTCCACTTCCAATACCACTGATTCCATCAATACCCCACAGCTGGCGTCAGTAACTGGGTGAAAGAAGGGTTTTCCCTGCTAGGGCTGATGGAAAGCCTCCAGGTGGCACTAAGAGATCGAAGGTGTCCTGCAGATCAGGGCTCTGGCACTTGGAGAAGGGTGATCTCTTCCCCAGTGTTTTTGTGATGGGGGACAGCACCAAACCTATAACCAGAATTAATAATGACATTTCGTGTGAGTCCTGCTCTGTCCCTACATAGGTCGCTGAAAAGCAGTCTACAAACCTGCATCCAGCCAAAATTTGTCTTTTTAAACTGTGGATAATTTTGCTGTGGGCTTTCAGAGATACTCAGAATCTGCTGCATTCATATAGCCTCCACTTTTCACCGGGTTTTATTACCCTAAGGTTTTAACCCAAGCAATGATTTAGCTCTTCATTGCAGTGATGACTCTCGTTCTTTCTGAGAGGAGCAACAAATATTCAATTCTATTCCGTATTTTAAGTGCACATATGTGCTGCCATATGGATCCTATGTGGGTACATTCAGCATCTGGGACCCCAGTCTGAAGGACATTGACTACTCTGGTTTGTTGGCTATCACTGGACTAAAAGAGTTTTCATCAGCCTGGAGAGAGATTATTTAGCAAGGCCAACTCTATAAACAATGTACATTTTTATATAACTTTGAAGTTACCTGCTGTTAGAGGTATTTTTGTTGGAGAATCTGCTAGCATCAACACAGGAAACAAAAACAAGAAAAAAACATGTTGAAGGAACATTACATGAATTAAGTAATAAGGATGAGAAGTTTGCATGCACAGGATCCCCTGGGGTCTCTGGCAAAGGGATGTCAGTGGATTGGCAAGGGAATGGATTAGCTCCAGCTGTTGTTTGGGATAAATCCTGCTCTGTGGACAGCCTAAGAGGTGGGAATACACCCTCACTAACATCACTGCCATCATTGCTGGATGCAGAAGGTTTTGACAGGGACAAGTGTCATTTATTCAGATATTATGAAACTTTCCAACATATCCCACCACACTGCTCCTCATGCATGCAAAGCTTTAAATCTAAATTAGCTGGATGGGTAATGAAAGGGTTAAACAGCAACTCAATATTTTCCAGCTGAACATCAGGACAGTTTTCAGTAGCACCTCAAATATTTATGGAGGGAGAAAATAATGGGGGCATTAAAAACTCAGTCTGGAAATGGCCCTGAGTGTTCTTTCTTTCTGCTGTGTGTGAGGGGGTGTGTGGGACCATGGAAAGGGAAAGCAGGTTTGCTTTTAGTTCATTGGTTCAAGGCAAGTTCATTCCAGAACTTTACACCTGAAAGAGGAAGGGGTGGAAAGACAGCAGCTGTGGCAACACTTTTGATGTTTATCCATCCCTGCATAGAGGACATAGCAGCAGCTGCTTAAAAAGAAAGGTCTTGTCTCTCCCAGCACCAGGCTGGCACCCTGCTCAGTCAGGGAAGTCTCATCTGGGAAGGAGGAAAGTGTTTTTTGGATGCAAAAAGGCCTATTTCACCCTGTTCAAATATCCCCCCTCCCATCAGACCCACCAATATTTGTATTGGTCCCCAAAGGGATGAAAGTGGCTGGGCAGACCATTGACTCTGCAACCAAACTAAATTAAGTTCCTAACAGGAATTAGCCTATGAGAAATTAGACTAATAAAAAATTACAGTAATTTCCATTATAATCTAATCATTATAATAATAATAATGGGGGCAGGAATATGTGCCAGACTTGTTTTATCTAAGGCACTCTGTTATTAAACACCAGAGGGTTAGATATAACAATGTACCTATAATCAAAACAAACCCCACGCTTTGTACACCTCACCTTCTTTAAAATAAACATGTATTTAGTCCAGAAAATACTTACTAGTCTTTAAATCCATTATCCTAGTATAAAGGATCAGAAAATATTATCATTGACTTGACAGTATATTCATTTTAATTTCCTTTACTAGGCTTTTTATGTAAAATGACAGGAAAAAAAATTAAGTTCATTAAGCAGATTTGATAACATTGATTTGCTCAGCTCATAGGTTTGACCTGTTTGTAGTTTACAAAAGAGCTGAGCCATGTTGGTAAATCCTCTTTTACTCTTAAATCTTAACATTAGCCCAAGGTGAAATATAGCTACAAAGGTGATCGGAAGTGAGGCTCTTTACCTGCATGCACCTGAATGTGAAGAATTATCATCACCAGCCAAGACAAGATCCTGGTGGCAGCCATCTCCTTGGAGCTCCTGATGCAGGAAGACACCAGAATTTATAGGCAGAGTCACCAAAGGGCGCAGCTCAGCAGCCCAATCTCTCGTTTCTGTAGCTCAATACCACATTCCCCACTGCTTCCACCTTCCATCACCACATGTTTGATTTGTAAACCAATATTTACAGCTTCCTGGTTCTACAAGAAAACAACACCTGGCATCTGATCCAGGGAAAGCAGAGATCAAAAGTGGTTGCAGTAGCTGCTGTTTTTCAATCCCATCCCTCTTTGGCTGTGGAGTTCTGTTGTTGTCACTTATGTGACTTGTCCCTTTCTTGGGTTTGAGCTGTATCTGAGCCAAAGCTGCTTCCTAGGCTGGTGCAAAATGTGCCTTTCCTTTTGTGACTGAACATGTGGAAGGGTAGGACTACAGTGGGAAACAATCCAAGGGCTAATGGAAACCCTTTGTACTCTGTCCTAATAGATGTCACAAAAACATGCAGCAAGAATACATTCTTCTTTTTCCGTTCTCCCTGTGTTCATCTCTCAGTGGGCTCTGTCCTCATCAGGGCAGCAAGAGTCAAGATGTTTAAGCTCTGCAAGTTCATCAAAAGTAATTTTTCAACTTTTGACACAAACTCAAGCCAAACTTCGGTGGTTATACACTGATCATTGTTAAACTGCACAAAACCTTCCCAGAGAACAAGGGCTCCAAGTCTGAGGATAGGGGCAAATATAGAAAATAAGTGAAAATTCATCTCTATTTCTGAAGCTCTTAAGAAGTTGGCAGCACTCTTGACACAGCTGTCCCCCTGAGGTTTACAGCAGATTTAAGGTAACAGATAAGTAATGGCACCCAATGGAACTTACAATGGATTTTAATGAAGAAAAAGTAACTCAGGTCATGATGAAGTTTCAGTGGATCCAAGTGCTCATCAAAGAACCCACATTTGCACAGCAAATTTGGCAATGTTTGAGCAGCATATAAAATCTCAGAATCACAGAACTACTTAGCCTGGAAGAGCCCCTGATCCAAGCCTCAAATCTAAGCAGAGTTATCTCCAAAGTTCAGTCAATCTTTAAAAAGTCTCAAGGCTTTAGGAATTTGTGTAACTCAATTTGTTTTCTAGGGAGAACGTGCAAAAACTTCTAGTGGATAAAAATTTGACATCCTGGTTGTTCCTGCTGCTAGTTTTGGATTTATTACTGATTGGCAAACAAATTCTTCTCAGAAAGTCAGGAACAGGTTTCTTGTGCCTCCTGAACCGTGCAATGCAACAGCCAACGACCAAACTCAACCTCACACAGCACAGGAGAGCCAAGAAAAGAAAAGAAGATCAAAAGGAGAAAGGAGGCACAAACTCCATCATGAGAATGGGGGGGGGAAATGAAGGGATTAGTTTGTTAGACATGCAAACAGTTTGTTGACTCTGCAAACACAGGGAGACTTTTATTCTCATGGTTTTGCAAGGCAGGTGGAGGAAGTGGTCTTTTGGAGGGACTGGAGGAAGAAAGGGATGTGGCTTGGTAAACACATTGGGGCAGCTGTTGCAGACCCAGAGAGATGAAAGAAAAATAAAACCAGACTCAAACCATTCAAAAGTCAATCAAATTTGGTACTATTTGAACACTAAAAGAGAACATGTGAGACAGCCCTGAGCTCAGGGTGACTGGTGCACACAGATCCCAATGGCAATCAGCACTGCATGACCATCCCAGTCCAGGACTGGCATTCTCTCTGTGGAGCCCAGCATCTCAGCTCCTCAGATGAAAAGGAAGTGTGGTGGATTGCCTTTGGCTGACTGCAGGACACCCAGCCAGCCTCTTTCTCATTCCTCCTCCTCAACAAGGCAGCAGGAGAAAAAAAGGTGGAGAAGTTAATGGGTTGAGATTAGGGCAGGGAAATCACTTGTTGTCACATGGAAATTGATTCAGTTATAGAAAAATAACTTGATTGCTGGTTAAAAGAGACTGGTATAGCTAGAAACACAGTTAACTTAAACACCACCTTCCCCACTCCCTCTTTTGCCAGGCTCAAGGTCACGTCTTCATTCCACTCCTGCACCTTCCCCTTTGCTGGGTGGCTCAGTGGGACTGTGGTCAGTCCATGGCAGCTGTCACTGCTGCTCTGTCCTCCCCTTTTTCTCATGCTCCATTGTGGGTTCTTCCCCTGGGCTGTAGTCCTTGGGCATAAACCAGCAGGTTATCCTTCAGGATAACCCAGCATCAGCTCTCCATGGCCACTGCTCCTTCAGGAAATGTCCTCTTGCTCCTCTGTGGATTGTGGGGACAGCTCAGGTCTGGCACAAGGAGAATCTCCTCCATCTCCTCTAACTTTGGTGTTCACAGGGCTGTTCCTCATGTTTTCGACCCCAAATCCTCATTTCCTTTATGGCATTTTGTACTTTTTAAAATACAGTTTAATAATTAAGCACAGCTCAGCCATGCCCTGAGGTGGGACTGTTGCAGAGCTGGCTGGAACACGCCGAAGCACCAGAGCTGCTGGGTCAGTAGTCAAGACAGCAGCTGGCACCTGTTGAACCACCCACTCCTTTTAATTTCATTTGCAGTGGTCACTACTCTGACACTGCAGAAAAAAGTTCAAAGAGCCAGCAGAACAATGGTGCTCTGATACTGACCTGGTTTTTTGCACAAAAAAGACCTTTCTTCTCACCAGGTGGGATGGCTGATGGAGTGGAGGATTTTCTTGACTCTTGACTCATTTAACCAGAGCTGGAACTTGATTAGAATGTGTGGAGACATTACTTTCAGCTTGGATCCATGCTTACTTTAAAAGTCAACTATGCAATGAAGTTATTGCCCTTTGGATGGTAGAAAGGATCCAAGCTGTTCACACTTCTTAATTAATTGTTATAAGCAGCCAGCTCCCAATAACTCCTTCAAATTCAATTGATACCATATCTTCTATTCTAACATCAGTGATGCTTCTCCCCTACAACAGGGCATGGCAAAGGCCAGAAAGCTGGTGCCAATCCTCACCCCAAGCTGAAACAGCCTCCATAGCACACAGCTTCCCTGCTCCCTGTCCACTCTCCCCATCTGCTCCCTTTCCTTGCACCTCTGTCCAAAGCTTTGTTTGCACAAGTGACACCAAAGCAAATTGTAAGGCAGGAACAGTTTCATTGCCTCAGGAGATCAAGATTTATGATTAAGCTATGTTTGCTTGGGATGGGGAAGATGAAATGATTTAACCTGACACTGGACACAGCCTTGCTGCCTGGCTGTGGGAATACCAGTTCCCTCCTGACAGGCCTCCTGCCTTCCCTCTGCTGCACTTGGTTCCATTTCTCAATGGCCATGAAGTTACAAATGTGCTCCTTAAGTACAGTGGTGGATCTGGCAGGGAGAGAAAACAGGGTCAAGCTGACTTTCCCTGTAGAAGGCTTGTTGGCACTGCTCTGTGGGAGCTCAGGACCTCTGACCAACAAACTAATATGATTTCGTAGAAGCCATTTATAGTTTACGTTACACACTTTTTATCCATTCTAAAACTGCTCTTCATGTGACCACACATCTTCTCAGTGGTGCCCCTGTCCTGTCCCTGTGCTCTGCACACACTCCTCGGGGTACAGGTCTGGTCAATGTCCAGGTATTCCAGGTATGCCCTCTGTTATCTGCCTCTTGTGGTCCTGTGTTCTTGTTTTCCAGCCTCTTCTTTTCTATTTTTAGAATAGCTTACATCTCAGCAACCTTGAGAAATTCCAGAGGGTCTGATAATAAACTTCAAATACGGTTTGGCTGGAGCACATCATGGCCCGAGCTGTTCAGATGCATTGCTACACTGCTCTGTCCCTGTCATCTCCAGCAGCTTGGCTCAGCCCTTCCATCGATCTTCTAAAGATTCCCTCTGCACCCTTGCAGCTTTCCTTTGGTTCTCCTTGTTATCCAGCTGTGCCTGTGTTCACCATGGGTGTCTGAGAGCCCGTGCACATCTGGAACAGAACCAGCTAAAGATCTTGACTGCAAGGTGCCGACAGAGAAGTCACTGCTGCAGACACACAGACTGGGGGGGTCTCCTCTCTTCATTCCCCTTGTACCCTCCCTCTCTCACCTCGCTGCTCCTTTCCCAGCCCACTCCTCTCTGCTCCCCTCCTGTGTCCCTCATCCCCAAGAGGAATGGTGTTGGGATGCACACCAGCAGCTGGCAGGAGGGCAGAGGGTGTTTGAACAAACAGCTCGTGCCTGGTGCGTTACAGGTGAGAGCATCCAGGTAAGCAGGTGGGAACTGATCTCCGTGAGAGCCAAGAGCTGTATAAGGAAATTATAGTATTGTTCTTATGATACTTATGATAGATGACATTCCAGAGCTGTAACCATACTCCAGCCAGGAGCAGAGTTAAAAAACAGAGAGAAAAAAGGCTCAGCACAAACTCAGGCTGAATTCAGCAAAGAATTTCATTTGACCAAAATGCTAAAGTGTAAAAAATTTCTGTTCTGGACCTGTCGTAACAAGATGTTTCAAATAAAGTCATAGAAAATTGAGCCAATGCATTATTTAAAGCTTGAAATACCTGAGAGCCTGAGACACAATCCCTTTGAGGCAGTGAAAGTCTGCAGCTGAGACATTTATTAGGCAACCAGCTCTGCTATTTTTGAATTGCTCTCCCCTGCTTAGAAGAGGTGTTGAACTGTTGCTGAAGTGAGGGGCTCAGGATTATCTGGGAAGAGTGCTAAGCAGATGGAAGGACCCTTGTGCCTTGTTTCATTTTGTGTTCCTGTTGGCTGCACCTCATCTGCTCCCAACACTCCTCCCTCTCCCAGACCTCCACTGGCTCCAACCCTCCCCAGCTAATGAACACCAACCTCTTTAAATGCAACAAGATTTGTTTACCAAATATAAGAATGAGATAACAGAAATCCTTTACCATACAGCAAGGGGACATAGAGCAGAACAGGAACTCCTTGATCCCTGTTTGCTTTCTGGTAGCAAATACCCCAATATTTTATACTTCATGTCAGAGCATAAGATATTCCTTTGTATGAACATAAAGTCACCACTCCTTAAATCAACACACTCAGGCCTGCAGCTGTGAAGATAGATAAAGGCTCAATGGCAATAGAAAAATAAATGAAAAATACAATTTTTGAGAATATCCTTATCACTAGGATGCCTTAATACACAAAATCTATATAAACAACTACAGCAACAGAGACAATAATGAGACCTACAGTAGGGACTAGGACTGAGGTTTCCACACTTTCAACCTTTAGAATTGCAGAAAGCTGCTCCTTACCCTGCAATTCTCTGTGCCTGGCACCACAGAGACAGGAGCAGAGAGACCTCTCCCACCCTGGCCACCAAGTGTTTAGGTTGGTTTCCTGGGATAAGATTGATTGATTTGACCTGGGGCATTTCTTTGCTGAACAGAATAACTCTTTAGCCATTTTCAGATGGGAACCACCTGTGTTCAGAGAGAAAACAGCTTCTGCTTCCCCATCTTAAGTACCCTCACCTGGCACTCACTGGTACCTGCCACCATTTCAGACCTTTTTGACAATTGCTAAATGTCTGAGTCCCAATAACCAAACTTAAATACCCCCTAGGTTTGTGGCAACTGATGCCAGCATGAGATAAGGGAAGGGCAGTTCAGCTTCCATCTATCCCAGATCTCCCTTGGGTCTTGCCTTGTTTGTTGAACAAATTTGATCTGTTACCCAACAAACAGCAGAAGCTGAAAAATGTACTGCTGTGATTTGCAGGAGAAGGGTGGGTCTGAAAGATTTTATTGTTTGCTGAACCAAGAAAGGAAGATAATTAGTGGAATGATCCATTAAACCACATTCCCATGAAATGTCACTGAAGAGTAAAAATGTTACCATAAACTTAAGGATAACCAGAAGCACTTGACAGCTTGAAAATTTGCATTTACTTGTAACTAAGAACTCTAGATCCAAAGTTGGTGTTAATGCTCAAAACCTGTCATGAGTTCCTTCTCCCCCCAAAATGCTAAAACATTTTGTTTTATCATTAAAAAAGCTTAACACTGCTATCAAACAAATATTGACAATCTTCCCATGTAGTTTCTCACCCACTGCATAAAGAAACAGTGCTATGTATTATTAACACATACTTTTTCCTATACAGTTTGGCCAACTTCCAAAACAATCCATCCCACCTGGTTTTGAATTTAGGACAATGGTTCCATTAATTCAGCTGGGCTGATCACTGCTGGTTATAAACTTTGCAATTCTGCCTCCTTTTTCCAATATGACCTGTAATTGCACCAAACACTTCTGCCACCCTGACAAAATAAATAAGGCCACAGCCAGACTAAAAAATGTCAAAGCCAAGGTCATTTGTATTAAAAAGGATAGAGACTGTATCCATAAAGTCATTTGAAAGACAAAAAAAGGAAAGCACAAAAATGTCCTTCATGAGGGGAGCAGCTGTTTGACCAGCACAGACACAGGACTGAGTTCTACAGTTGTATTTGAAGGCAAAACTGACTTTCAGCCCCAAATGCCAGGAATTCAGACATTTGAGGCTGGATCCTGGGAGCCTCCCACCCAGAGAGACCCAAGTGGCCACCAAAGCCAGGGCTGGCCATGCACGCTCTGAGGGAGCAGCCACAGCTGCAGCCTGGCACTGCTGCTCGCAGAGGGGACAGCCCCAGCTCTCCACTCCCACACTGGCCTTCCACTGGAGGTTTGGGATCACATCAAGGCTCTCTGCTTTAGGTTTCTGTGCCATTTCCCATTCCTTGTTCTTCAGAGACACTGCCCAGTGTCTGGAAATCATTTTCTGTGGCTATTGTTTTAAATAAAACAATTCTATTTCTTGGCTGAAGCAGACTCTCCTGGAAGCACAATTTCCCTGCTGTGGCTGAGGTTTGGCAAGGATGTGATGCAGAAACAGAAAATGCCCTAAAGCAGATCCCAAACAGATTGCAAGACTGCAAGAATTGCAACCTCCACTTTATAAAATTCATACATGCACCTCAGCACTACAATGAAGTGCCAGGCAAAACTTGGGAGGTAAAATCCTCTCAGAAACCACATTTCTTATCAACACCGAGCCCTGCCACCCTCCTCAGTGCACCAGCCATCTGTTCAGCATCCTGCTGAGCTACTTCATTTTCAGTGACACCTGAAACAACAGGACACCTTTTCCATGGTCCCATTCAAGATCTCCCACAGAATGGCTCAAACAACAGAAAAAGGAAAAATTCCTATCATAATAAACACAAGGCTGTCTCACTGCTGGAAGCTCAGAGCTGACTGTCCATCTTGGCTTTCTGAGCAGTGCCCACTTCCACAGGAGAACCTAAATAAACTTCTCTGGGACATGGGCTCACCTCAGAAATCCTGCATTAACCCTTCTGAGTCCCTGTTGCCCAGAAGAAATGCAGGCAAAGAAAACAAACTTAAGGAAACAAATTGTCCTAGATCATATTTCAATGTGGGCATCCCAAAATCCAGAAGCAAACGTGTTTTGAAAGACTACATATTTTGTTCAAAATATTAATAATTTTGTTGAGTGCAATTGTTTGGTAGTGCAATCTTGCTGTAATTTTTCTCCTGTAATGAGTGCAAGTTTCATGTTTTAGTAATAACAACATCATTAATGTAATTTAATTTGTGTTTGTGATTTTGGATCACAAAGGTTTGCACAGGCAAAGGATCAAAGGGTTTGCACGGGCAATTATCATCTTTGAATGTAATGAATAATGATTGCTTTTAAATAGCAGGATTTACAATTACATAAAATAAGTGGTTAATAGCATGTTATAGTCATATTAAAGTTATATTAAATTTATGCAAGGATTTCTCTGTGGTAACACCTCTACATGATGATGTCTGGATTGAGATAGATGAAATAATCAATCCTTTCAATTTTAGGAATAAAGCTTCTACCACTTCTGTTTAAGCAAGTCTGAAGCACTCCAGTGATGAAGATGAGAAAGTACATGATGTCTTCTTCAACCTTCAGGCTGCAATTTCAAACCCTCCCAGACTGAAACCAGGGCTAAAAAATGAATATAATCCTACATAACATCACTCCATGCTAGTTACAGATAAATGAACTGCTGCATCTCCTGAGTCTCTAGAAGGTGCAGCTTCACTTTCTCCATCAGGCTGGAAGTGAGTCCCTGTGGCCAGGCTGGGCACCTGAAAAAGGATCTGGACCAGCTGAAAAAATGTGTCCAGTAATGAGGACAAGGATAGAAGATGTGACCTGAGATAGAAAGAGAATAAAACAATCACTCAGGACAATCGTCCTCGGTCTTGAGAGGGTTTGTGCCAAGAGTGGAGCTGCAGCTTCCAGCATTTGGGTAACAAAGCAAACGACACTATGAACATCTGTGGGATGGGATTTGCTCTTACTGGTCCTTTTTCTCTTGGGCAGAGACTGTGTTGAGCAGAGACCTTTGACGTTTAATTGAAAAGGAAGAAAACTACTGGCCTGTTCTTAAGGCAATAAAGCAAGCTGAGCAGAGGAAGCCCTTTTTGCAGGAGTGAAAAGGTTTGCAGTGTCCCTCAGTGCTCACAGGAACTCACTGCACGGGCTGGAACTGATCCCAGTGGAGCTTTTCCTTTTGCACAGCGCTACCTTTCTCTGTGGAAGTGCTTTTTCGTTAAACAAACAAACATTAAAACCCTTTCACTGAGGATAAATAAAAGCAAAACTATTAGACTGCAAAACAAAACCAAGATACGTGTCCTAGCTTCAGCATAGCATTATCCTTTACATAGCTGTTTATGTAAATGTAACATTTTCATGGTTGTAAACCCTTCTCTACATCAACAAAATATTCATTCCCACTAACCACACTGGTGAAATGAAGCATTCTTTTGCCAGCTCCTCTTCAAAAGGAAGGTTTCCTTTCAGGATCCCGACCTCCAAGTCATATGTTGATTGAGATGTGAGGAAATGTACATTTATTCTTCTGTTAATTACAGTTGGGTTTTATTACATTGTTTTGCACCAGAGAGTGGCAGCTAGAGCTCTTTTTCTGTAATATGTGCCTGTTTCTGCTTGATTTGCAGGTTGGTGGGTTGATTTCTTTTTCTTAAAAGTGCAAAGAATTTTAAAACAGTCACAGCATGCTGAAACATTCTGGTTTTCCAAGTCAGACAGTCAACTCTCCTTCCTTGCCAGATGAACTTACCAGAGACAAAATCTACTTTTTCCTTGCCAGAACTGCCCAGTTCCTTGGAAGATTGGAATCAACCTTTATGAGAGCAGCTTTCAGCAGTTCTTTCTGAACAGACACTGAATTCACACTTCCAAGGACATCTTCTGTTCCTCCTGCATCCCCCTCCTGCTGCAGGAGGTCACCCCCTCAGCACAGCCACACACAGCACCAGCAGAAAGTGCCCCAAATCACGGTGACACTTCCAGACACAGCTTCCACAGAGGCTGCTGCTGAGTTTTTAGCTTCAATTCGCCCTCTCGTGGGCTTACCTGTTCACAGGTTCTTATGCACAGGTTGTCCACAGAAGCTGCAGCTCTCCCATCCCTGGAAGCATCCAGGGCCAGGCTGGGCAGGGCTTGGAGCAACCTGGGATTGTGGAAGATGTCCCTGCCCGTGGGACTAATGGTCTTTAGGGTCCCTTCCAACCCGAGTCATTCTCTGATTCCATGAAAAATGCCTATTTTTCCTGGAGGACTGCAGCTGTGGGGTCAGGCCCAAGGGCTGCTGCTTCTCTCCCAGCTGTTTTCCAGGCAGACACAGCAAATCCTACAGTCACTGCATGACACAGCCTGAATCACAGCTTTCTCAATATATAACACCAATGTATTTTCCTCTGTGGAGGGGTGATCTCCACCATTAGCTCCATTTCAGAGGGGAAAGGAAGATTACACTGCACTGCTGCTACCACAGCCCATCTCCCTCAAATATTCACATGGCAAACTTTCTGAAAATCACTGTGGTCTCTGCATAAACACTGAGCAGAAAAGGAACGAACAGAAGAAATATTTAATTTTCTTCTCCAGCATGTTATGCAGTATTTCCAAGCTCCTAAAGTGAATTATTTACCACATTAAGTAAATTTGACTTGTATGCTTTAGCTCTGACTCATTTTCCTTCTAATCAGTTGCTAATTATTACCCACTTCCTCAGAAAGTTTATGGGGACAGATGCTGCAGTACCATGACTACTAAACAAAACCCTGAAAATCAGAGGAAAACTTCCCAGCAGATGTAGAAAGATTAAGTTGATGTTTCTTTCCTTGCATTCTCTGCCCAGTTAGTCAATTTACATATGCACTGGTTTTAGCAGTGATTTTATGCAATAAATAATATTTAACTGATCAAGTTGTTGTGTATTTACAGAGGAATGGCACAAAGAGACTGAACTGGCTGAAATCCTGAGGCCAGAGCGTCCAGCTCTGATTTCCTTGCCAGCATCTTGCACAAGAGAAGAGGTTTGGGGGTTGAGGGGACCTGAAAAGGACTCACACAGTGACCTAACATCACACAGAACTGAATTCTCACTGCACTCACCATTCACTGCTCTGGATTGGTGACTTCTCCTTCCATGACTTCTAATTCCCATGGGTATTTGCAGCTGCAGTTTTAATCAGTTTGATATATAATCAGTACAGTTAGTTCTGCAGTACTTTTCTGATATACAGTAAGAACCTGTATATAATCTAATCATGCCTTGTTAACATCTCTCTCACCATATTTTGGAAAGATGTAGTTTTAAAAATATCCTCAGCTGCCTTAACGTGAATACAAGATAGTTCTGGGTAAGGAGGGGAAAAAGAAAAAAAGAAGCCCTCTGGCAATAAAATGTCAGGATTTTACTTCTTGGCATCTAAGCCACAGAAACCAGACAATTGTTAGTCATGACCATTTTTTATAGCTAAAGACCTTTCCCTTATGGAATAAGTGAACTTGCATTTTGAAACTACCTCCAAGCGTAGCACACGTAGCCATCTCCTCAGCATCACACACAGTAACTCCAGTTTCCATTTCAGATGTTCCAAAATAACAAAAATCAAGCCAGAATGTCCAATTTCCTTGATATAGCATCCAACACCTCATAAAATTTCCAGGAAACTGATATTTATACAAACTGTGCCAAAGCTATTCTGTACAAAGTATTTTCAATTGCATTTTGGAAAGAACTGTGCTGAAGCAACAAAGAATAAAAAACTTTGCTTCTACATCTCTGCTTATCAGTAATCTTACTTCAAATACTTAAAAATAATTTAGGGAATGCTTTGATTGTAAGAGACCATCTGGGTAACTGCATAGTTGGATACCAGGAAAGTAAATTCTAAACATTTTCCACATGATATTCATGTGGTTATTGATATCCACTGAACAGAAATTAATGCTAAATTAAGAAAAGGTAAATCAGAAAACCACTTTCAAAGTGTATGGCTGCAATATGAGACCATCATACCTCCCACTGGATGGAGCTCAGGGCTAGAATTCTGGTCAAATATTTCGCTAATCCCAGTCACCCAGGAAAACAATTTACAGAATTTCATTTGCCTCTTTCCTAATGCCCACACAAAGAAAATTAATGAGTTTGCATATTAAGACACCACCACAACAAGCAGTAGGAACAAAGAGAATCAATCAGCTCTGCAAATTGTGCAAGCACTTGTTTTGAAATAAAAAGGCAGATGAAAAATCAGCTTCTGTTTTAAATAGTTTCCTGGCTCTGGGGCTGTAGTTTAATTTTTGCTAGTTGGGTTAGGTGGAATACTAGAGAAGGCAGGTGATTTTTAAACTCGTTTTTGCTGAGAGCTGCATGTCACAACTGTGCTACACAGGGCACAAATGGACTGCAAAACACAGCACCACTTCAACAGGAAGCTGGAACATTAATCAACATCAGCAAGATGAACTTGCAGAGCAAAGATGCTACAAAACACTTCTGCAAGATTATCCTGTGCCCCTTTGGGGCCAGAAGGGATTGCAGACTGTCAGTGCTTGGCACTGCAGTGTTTTGGCAGACTTTCCCAGGTGTGATTTACCACAGCCATGGCACAAGCTGGTAATGAGGTGTTCCATCCTGTCAGGAGTCAATACTGGACTGAAAGGTACACTGCAATTAATTAAAGTTACACACCGTGTAAATTTACAGCCATCCAGGTGAGCAAGGGCAGGCTCTGGCAGTTGGGGAGAGAGGCTCCTCAAACAGGGATAAACTGAAACAAAGCTGAAATACAGCTGGGAAGAGAGGGAGCACTGTCAGGAGTCCAGCTCTAGAGGATTTATTGCTGCATTTGGGTGGAACAAACCCTTTCTTTTAAAATCATAAACCCAGCTACCCAGCTGGAGAAGTTTACTAAAACATTCTTTTTCTAAAAGAAGAGCCTTTTAGGAATGACTGTCATCAAAACTTGTCTACAGCCCTTGGATTTATTCTCTGAAACACATGTTTCAACAGAGGAAAGAAAAGGCTGCTTAGCCTATTGTTTACCCAATGAATAATTACCTCGTAATTAAGTGTAGTTGATTGCTCCCCTTCACAGCAAGACAAACCCACTCACCACCCCCAAGCTTCAAGGGCATCAATAAGCACATGTGTAAAGATTAATGCCTGTTAGAGGAATGCCCAATATCCCAGAGCCAAACCCATACACACACCAGCACTCCAGATTTGGATAAACCAGGCCTGTTTCAAAGAGCTTAAAGCCAGGTCTAAATGGTTGCAGACATCCTAATATCTGAATCAGAATGGTATGGGATCTGTGATCCACCATGTGGCAATTTCTACAGTAGGCAAACAGATTCCAGGCATTGGTGAAGAGGTAATTAAAACAGTAAGGAAAATGCATTAACATCTGGAAGACATAGGCAATATGACAAATTGAACCCAGCCTTGGTGAGGAAAACAGATGCACAAAAGCACAAATACAAGGCACATACTGAAAAATAAGTCATGTGATTAAATGATGATTAAAAGGAGACCATCAGGACAAATCCTCCCAGGCAGATGTGCCACTTAAAGAAAACCACTCCACAGGGGGAAGCAAAATGAGTCACTCACAAGAAGTACTGTTGAATTCTTTTAATAACACTAGGAAAATATCATAGTATTAAAGTCCTGCACGGGATCCTCGGGAGGTTATTTGGGTTGGGATTCCTTTTGTGTTTATAAACCAAACTTTGTTTCCCAATTGTGTTTCCTTTTAAGCCAACTACTCCTTTACAATGGCATTTCCAGTTAAAAGACAGCTAACCTATAAATACCTGAATGCCACAACACACATTGTGTGCGTGGGTTTTGTTTTGTTTGCGTCTTAGCGGAAATGACGGGAAATCTACTCAACACAGGGAAGCAAACGTCGATTTGTTACGCGGGGGATGTAAAAGCCAGTAAAGAGTACATTGCATACATAATACAGAAGGAAAAAAAAAAAATTATCATCTGGAGTATGTGAAATTACACTGATTTTGCACCTTAAACCTAGTAGAAGTTACTCTGTTGGCCAATACTAATCCACTGAACAAGCAGAATGTTGGTCAGAAGTCTAACGTTTCCTGTACCAGCACAGAGAGAATATAAGCAGTCCATTGCTGTTAAAAAGAAAAAACATGAAATCCAGCTCATGTTTCTAGTTAGGGATCGATTTCTTCGGGAACTACTGTTAACATAACATCTTCGTTGCCCCTGCGCACAACCATGTGCAACGTACTGTCCTTTTTAATAATGTCACTGACATCACTGGCTGAGCTTATCGACTGTCCATTGATGCTTATAATCACATCGTTGTCCTTCAGGCCACCACTGAAAATACAAAGCAGCAATGTGTTATTATAATTGCAGTTTTATTTTCAGGGAAAAAAAAAAAAATGTCATTGGATTATTTCTATTTCCCACCCAACAGCAGCTGTGCAGACATGGCAGGCATGAGCAAAGCAATCAGAATTTATGAAGCAGTGAAGATTACAATGAAGTGCAGAAACCTCAGGATTTGATGGATGTAGAAGTTTGATTAATCCCATATTTCACTGTCTTCAAAGGAATTCATTATTGCAAATAGCAGTTAATTCTGCAATAAAGATCCTAGGTGTTGATATCTGTCTTCTAAAATAATTGCAACAAAGCAGATTCATTTTAAAGGGGAGATTTCCCAAGCTTTTGCTCTTGAATACATGGAGAAGCAACCTGAGTGGCACTGTGTGCTAATGAGGCATTTCAGTCCCTCCTCTCCATACACAGCTTACTGACAGCCACATCACCCACCCTTCATGTTTTAAACCTGAGCACAATGACACATGTAGCTATCTAGTTCGGTCACCAAAAATTAACTGTGTTCTTCCTCTGCTGCCCATAGCAGCCAAAATCCCTTTTTCTGACCTTGAAAATAGAACCTTCCTGACTCAAAGCAAGAACCAGGGCTATGTCTCTCCCCAGGCTGGCTGGAGCTGCTGCCAGCACCAAGAAAGGGCTGGTGAGGGATGCCACAGACCACAACATCTTGCCCAGTCTTGCACAACGGTCTGGCTCCAAGTTATGGAAAAATTAACCAGGACAGATCAGACATGATTCAACCCTTCACAAGCATAATCCTTCAGAAAACCACAGACCACTCATCGGCCTCTTCCACCCACAGAAGGCGCCTGACACGAGTGTCTCCTGCAAGCAGGATGCCTTTGGCCAATGTTTGCAACAAATCTGGTCTCCTACAGAAGGCATGGCTCAAAACATGTTCACAAAGGAAGTCATTCCATGGTTTTTCATGCAGCCTCTCCACGTGACTCATAGCCAGGATGGGTGACTCCAGCTCTGCTCCCACCAGCACATCTACACAACAGTGCTGGAGAGATCAGCAGAAGAAGGAAAGCGCTGGGCAAGGGCACTGGGAGTGGGGGGACAGAGCCAGCCTGGGCTGCATTTTAACTGCCAGGCCAGCCTTTGGATGGAGCACCTTGATTTGGGTCTGCCTTCACGTTAGAAGGTTATATTGCCTCACATTTTTTCTCTCTAAATCTCCCTCTCTCTGCTATTACATCCTAAAATGACTTTTCTGCAGCTTCAGACCGAGCCTGAACACCAAGGCAGCAATTCCAGCCTTGGAATATATACACTGAAGCAGCCAAATCATCCCTGCACATTACAGACACTGACCAGTGCTCTGCCTGAACCATCTACACAGCAGTAATTCAGAGAGCACTCTGGACAGCTGTCACTGTTCATCTTACACCCAAACTGCCAGAAACACACCATCCAACCATCCTTGCAGCCTTCCTAAGAGGTAATGTATGCCTGCCCCAAGCAGCTTTCTGCCTACATGCCTTTGGTGCCAAATAAGCCTCTTTGTTGCCACAAAGATTTACTCCTCTCTTGAATTACTGCTAGCATCAGAAAATGAAAAAGGTTTCCCATTTCCTGCCCTGGATTACTGAGCGGTTTCCTATCAAGCAAACCCTGAGAGGAAAGTGTCTCCAGCAAAAGCCAGCCAGACCAGTGCCAGTGACCACAGCCCAGCTGCCAGGCTTCAGCCAGACGTGGCACCGACCAGCAGGGCAGCTCCTGAGCAAATCCTGAGTAATGGCAAGAAAAAAAATCAGTTGTCCAAACCCAGCAGCTCTTCCAGTAATGTGACTGCTGACAAAGCCCTCAAATGGAAGAGCATCTGCTGCCAAGAGAGGATTTCAGCCCCAGGGTGTGCCAGGGGAGCTGGAGGGTTTGGCCAGAGCTGAGGTGGACGCTTCTTCCAAGGTGGACCCAAAGCTTCTCCCTCGCTCTCCTGCAGTGACCAGCAGGGTCGGGAGAGCGTGCAGGAACAAAAACCTTTATTCAGCACTGGCATTGGTACAGCAGATGCCTTGGAAGCAACTGCTGAGAAAAAATGAAAAAGGAGTTTTCACACCCCCTGAATCCCTGCCCTTTGGCCTGGAAGGCTGACGGGGCTTCCCTGCAATACCCCGATCCAGTTACAATATTGCCCATCAGGGACCAGAGCAAAACCACAAACCCACTTCCAGCAGACAACCTAATAGCAATCAGATGGCCATAACCTTGTTAATTTAGCATAATGAAGAAAGCCAGTTAAGCAGGAAACAGCCTCCATTGCTACCCCCTTAAGTCAGTGGCAGTGGTTTGGAGAAAAAAGTACTTCAACCTACGCTTCAGCTGGTGTTTCTGGAATAACTTCAATGACATAGGCCCCAGAGACAACATCAGGGAAGTCTTTATGGCGATCCTTCAGCTCTCTAGCTTTGCTGAAAAATGAAGAAATAGCAAAAAAAAAATATTTTGTCAAGACAGGAAAAAACCCCCCCCACGCATTTTACTGAAGTCACTTAATAACCACGAGCTGAGGTGTTTTGCACACATTGGTGTCACTTCAGCATTCATTTTAACCCCTAGATGTACATTTCAGGAATTATTACACTTTCTGCATGCATACAGCTTTTTAATGTCTGTTTCTGCTAAAGGCAGTCATTTCAATAGATACAGACAGTCAGAGTTAAAACATTTCAAAGTTTTACAACTAGCAGATTGTAGAATCACAAAGTGGTTTGGGATGGAAGGGACCTTAAACCCCATCCAGTCCCCACCCTCTGCCTTGGCAGGGACACTTTCCACTATCCCAGGGTGCTCCAAGCCCCGTGCAACCCAGCCTTGGACACTTGCAGGGATCCAGGGACAGCCACAGCTTCTCTGAGGACCCTGTGCCAGGACCTCCCCACCCTCACAGAGAAGAATTTCTTCCTTGTATCTCAACTAAACCCTCTCTCTGCCAGTGAGAAGCCATTCCCTCTTGTCCTGTCACTCCAGGGCCCTTTGTAAATAGTCCCTCTCCATCTTTCTTTCAGGCTCCCTTACAGTACTGGAAGGCCACAATTAGGTCAAGCCCAAAGCTTCTCTTTTCCAGGCTGAACAATCCCAATTCTCTCAGCCTATTCTCATGGGAGAGGTGCTCAACCCCTTTGATCATCTTTGGGGCCTCCTCTGGACTGGCTCCAACAAGTCCATGACCTTCCTGTGCTGGGGACCCCAGAGCTGGATGCAGAGCTCCAGGTGGGGTCTCCCCAGAGCAGATTAGAGGGACAGAATCACCTCCTGCAATCCTGAGCGCCTGGAAAACCCCAACCCCATGTGTTTCAATGCTTTGTTCTGCCTGTGGATCCCGCACAAGGGAAAAACTTCTGGTTATTTTTACAGGACATGGCATTACCTGCTCATGAGCCTCTTATAGTCTGAGCATGAATAAGCAAGTCCACACAAAAGCTTCATTTGACATTAAGTGAACTGTTTAATGAAAATAATTTGATAGAACTGGAGGTACGCACGCAGCTGCTGTAAGTGATGAGAACATACAAGGACATGGATTTAACCCCAGGACAGCCGCAGTCACTAGCTATTCTCTTCTGAAGCATTAAGGAGAAGAAAAAGCCAGGAGCTGTTTAAGAACAAGCTCATAGGACAGTCTAGAGGAGAGTTCCACCAGGTGGCAGACGCAGAGGAGAAGGTGGCAAGGACTGGCCACCAGCACGCACAGAGACACACGGTGCTGGCTCAAACCTCGCGGGCGCTGCTGCACATCTCCAGCTGGATCCAAAGGCATGCAGAGACCACGCTTGGGAAAGGTGAGGAGCCACCTCGGGTACTTACCTGGGAGTTAGTGACATCATTCGTATGCCAATGTATTTCTTTTTGGTTACAGCTTTTCCTACAAGAAGGAAAACGGGTCTTGATCAGTCGCCCTGACCAAAAGAGCCTCGCAGGCTGTTGGTTTTCTGGTTTATCACTGTTTTCACAGAATCTCGGAATGGTTTGGGTTGGAAGGGACCTTAAAGGTCACCAATTTCCAGCCCCCTGCCATGGGCAGTGATGCCACCCACTAGACCAGGTTATTTTCATGTTCCCCTTTCCAAGCAGTCAGGTACAATACCTTTAGCTTGTCTGTCATGAGATTCAGTTAGGAACTTCTTTATTTTATCGGATGGGATAGCAAACGAGATGCCTGCTGTAACTTTTAATGTGTTAATTCCAATGACTTCACCATCCTGGAGAAATAAAACAAGCCATTATTAGCAAATATGGAACACCACAAAGAGGATCATTTCTTCCAAGCAGCCACAAAGACAAATTCACACTTTGTTGCTGGTTTTCAATTTTCTAAAAGTTTTAAGTGTAATTTTTTGAGTCTGTTGATAAAACACTACCTAGAAATTCTGGAAAATCAATGTGATTATTCATCTTGCTGCAGAAGAGGTCAGAACTGGGCAATTCTCTTGCTTGCAGCAGATGAGCAATGAATTCTGCAGCTAATCTGTGTTTATTTCAGTAAGCAGCACATAAAGCATGGCAGCGACTGCTCCCGAGCCACTATTACATAATAACATAAAGAAAAATACAGTTCACCAAAATCAAAAAAGCTTTCCTGGCAATATAGCTCCAAGAGCTTTGGATGAAACATCTCTGATGTCATCTCTTTTGAAGCCTCAGCAGTTTCTTTCTCTGGTTCATCCCGAATAAAAACTGTCCAACTACAGGTTTTTTTTTAAAGTGAAGATTAAGTGTGACTGAAAGTGTGCTGTGAATTGGGTGGGAAGAAAAAAAAAAAAAAAGCCAAATCTCCTCCAAGGCAGAAACTCTGAGTAGTTCTGAGTTTCAGTCTGTGCTGTGCCTCCTGAGGACTCAACCCCATGTACCCCCAGGAGACCTGAGAGCTCTCACACAGTTTTGCAACCTGCTTCAGTCCTTCTACAATATTGGCAAATCAACCCTGATATCCTGAAGCTATGTGGATTTTTTTTTTGTGTGTGTGTGTGTGATTCAAAATGAAAGGGTAGATACATTATAGAAATATTTAGCTGAGTTTCAGTGTGCAAAAGAAAATAATTTCCAGCTGCAGGGTAAACAGCAAGGGCAAACACTTCACTGTAAAATCTGCTTTTCCCTTTTTGCAAGGCTTGAGCAAAAAAACATTACACTTGTTTGAAACTATGCAAACCGTAAACATCCTAAATATTGAAATCCAAATGTAGCCTTTTAGCCAACATAAACACAGACAACTGACTAGTAAGAACCATGTGAATTTTGTGTAGTCAGCCAGATATCAAAAGTTCCAAATCACATATCTGGTGGGGGGACTTTGCTTTTTTGTTGGTTTGGGTGGGGTATTTTGTTGTTTGGGTTTTTTTTTAATTAAAAGCAAAAACCTCAAGACTAAGCAAACTTGGAGAAACACTTACCAGATTTACTAGGGGTCCTCCAGAGTTCCCATACTGAAAATAAACATAAGAACACGTTTTAATATTTACCTCTTCATTTGTTGCAAGTAAAATATAAAAGAAATTTTTGAAATATTTCTGTAGTACTGTTTCCATTGTGTATTAAATACATGCAATGGAATGGTCTTAAACAGCCAAAACCATAAATTACACTTTTAACATCACCCATTTTAGCTGAGTTTTGAAAATACTTAGTTTTTCTTCTCCTGCCAAAGTTAAGAAAGCCAAGGTTTTAGTTTTGTTTTCTTAGTGCCACACCAGAAACTGAGATGATTTTAGGACAGCTCTGGGAGCTGTTAGTGAAGATTTCTTACAAGGCCAGGATTTGAAGTACAAAAACTATTGTTTTGCCTCAATGCAGAAACAAACTTGAATCCTTAAACTAAGCCTGGCTTCTTTTCCAGAAAGATGAACTTTGAGAAGATGTTTATTTGCCAGAGAATACTGTCTCCTCCCTTGCTATCTGCAAGGATTTTGAAGTGAAGGCAGATATTGTGCTTGGTGTGGGTTTTTTGTGGGTTTTAAGTAACAACCAAGTGCTGCTGCTGTGCAGATGTCCAGATCTACGGGGAGAGAAATGCTCCCTGCTCCTGAGGATGGCACCACAGGAGGAATTTTCAGAGCATCTACTGGAGGAGCATGAGGGCTGGAGGCAGCAGCTCAGAGGGACATACATTGATGATGGCATCTGTCTGGATATAGTCCATGTCGGAGTTGCGCAGCCCCAGCTCCTTCCCCCCGCGCTGCGTGGTGCTGACAATGCCCGTGGTCACCGTGTTCTGCAGGGAAAAGGGACTTCCAATGGCCACCACAAACTCCCCTGGCCTCAGGTCTGCAGACTGACCCAGCAGAAGAACTGGCAATTTACCCTGCAAGTAAAAATAGAACAAAAGAAAAGAGAAGAAAATTCAAAAGTTAAGACACCGCTCTGCTGGCAGAAGAAATGTTACGGGAGGATGGATGCATTCACAGGGTAGAGGAAAAGAGAGAGGCTTTTATATCCTCAGGGATTTTGCTTGTTCTGTTTTCTTTGAGTATTTTGTGTGGGATGGTACAGAAACATCCCAGTGAGCATCTGTGCTGCAGTGTGGGCTCTTTACACCGGAGAACTTTTTCCACAACAGGTACCCATTAAATCAAGAACAATTAAAAAGACCAAAGGAATATTTATGCTCTGCTCTACAAAGCAAACATCTGATGATACTAGAAATGAGCCACTTCCAGCACTTCTTGAAATAATTAGCCAACAGCTGCTGAAGTAAAAATACGATATTGTTTGTGAGGGAACACCAAAGAATCATGAAAGCAGCAGCCCAAGAGTTTTAAACATGCATGTGTACAGTTAAAAGCATTTTACATTCTCTCAAGACACCAGCTAATACTTCATCTTACTTTCTTCTAATGAAGTATCTCTTGTAAATAATTATATTGCCTCCTACATACACTGATGTCTTCCTCTGAAGATGTTAGGATTTAAAGATCTGATGTGTTTTTTTCTGTTATGACAGTAGAGGATACCATTATCATAATCCTTTCCTTTCAAGATCTTGCCTCTAAACATATTAAATATCACATAGTTGAAGACATTCCCACTAAAACATTCCTAACATCTAGCAAACACTGTGTTGTACAGCAATTAAAAATAAAAAAGGGAGGGAAGGTTGGATCCACACACTCCTGCCAGTGAATCAAGGGTGTTCTGCAACAGATCATACTTCAAATAAATACTTTTTTTTATTCATCACCTGCCTGTACAGTACACATTGAGTGCCATTTCTCCCTTTCTTCACACTTGTAAAAGTCAATCTCTTCACTTACAGTGATGTGACATGTTTTTAAATACTTTTTGTTTTAGCTGTTGTCTAAATGATCCTGACCCTCCCCAGGTAATTTAGCCATGTATTTAACCATGTCATTAGACTATTTCTATTAGCACCAATGAAGCTGGACACATATAAATACAGATTTAGACTTAAGGATTTGGAGGATTAGGTTACTGAACCCAAAAATCAAAACAGAATTCTGCAGGCATTTATCTTTTGCTTGGCAAAGCTAACTTGAACCTAGCTTTCCTCCAAGCTTGACCTACTTCAGAATTTTAAGTTTTGGCAAAAAGGGAAAATATTACATGTTTGATTTGGAAACCCATTGCTGGCTCTTGAGGGGTTTTGTTACCAGCAGTTTGAAAGCCTGACTCAATAAGCCATCCACAGGGACAAAAATTCAGTATTATAAACTAACCCAGATCCCCATCACTTTGTATTTTTTCACCTATAGCTTATTTCAAATATCCTAAGAGACAGACAACACTTTGCAAAGTAGAAAGCAAAAAAATAATGACATCAATTATCACTATATGCTGCTGCAAATACAGAACTTATGGTTTTAATGTTTAATGAGACTGGTTTGTGTATATTTTATCCAGTTTTGTTACAATCCAACCAAGGAAGTTTTACTCAGATGAGCAGACTGTTTCAATAAAATTCATCGCCAGCTCCCAGACAGGATAAGATGGAAACTTATCTTTGGGTCTCCAGACAACAAGAAAATAATTAAACCAACTTCTTGTTCAGCAGAGTGAGCTGGAAGAGCAACAGAATAGGCAGCACAGAAAGGAGAAGGCATTTCCACGCCTAGTTCCATTTCAGAGGAATGTTATCACAACCAGCAATGCCCTGTAATTAATAATGATCAAATACAGCCCTTATCAGTGCCACAGCCACAGATAAACCCAGCCAGGGCTGTGGCTTTGCTCTGGGAATGATCCAGCAGCTCTGCCCAGCTTCCCCATCGCTTCTGCAGCACTGCAGAGAAACAGCAGCAGCATCCCTGAAGGCAGCACAGCCCTGGGACAGTCCTGGGCACCCCAAGGGACGTGTCCAGGACAGGGGAATCAGGCAGCTGTGATTTGCTGAGCTGTGTGCAGCACAAACAGCCCCATATGGGTAATGTTTGGATACAGGGAGCACCCTGGCCCTTCCTCCTCTCACCAGATGCTATTGAGCTGACGTAGCACGTGTTTGCAAGATGTCATTGGTCAAAACCAGAATCTTTTCTTGGCACTGCTTTTCCTTCTTTAAAAAAAAAAAAACAAAAAACACACACAAAAGACAAAAAGTGTCTTTTGTTTGTATCCCAGTGCACTGAACACGGATACTTTGCAGAGAAAGAGGACATTTATCAGCAAATGAAACATAGACAAGCAAAAGAAAACAGAATAGTTTTTATGTTTCATTAACAGAAAAAAAACCCAAACAGAAATCCAAGAAAAAAAAATCACAAAAAAAAAACCCTTAAAAAAAGCCCCCCAAAAAAGAAACAAAAAGAAAAAACTGGCTGTGGACAAAGTTAAAAGATTTATACAAAGTTCCTGAATTGTAACAACGGTCACAAAGCCAAAATTGCATCTGGCAGCAGAGAGAAAGTACAGGAACGATCTGTGACTAATACAATTGTGATTGTGCTGAGTTTTCAGGGCTGTGCCTGTACTAGCCAGGCTTCAGTTCAACCTCTGATGCTGGATGGATTGGCTGCAGGTCACCCCTGTGATTCAACACGCCTTCTGGAAAGTCTGGCTAACCTTTCCCTCGCTAGAAACAAAAATCCACTGCAAAAACCTCCTTCTCCTGCACACATTATGAAACAGAGCTTCAGAGAACGTGTCCTGTATTCCTTGTGATTTCATTTGTGATTCCATGGTGTGGGGCAGAACTGGCACACTGACAGCACTGCATGTAAATATATTAGTGCCACTACAAAAAATTGCCATGAGGAATTGGTGATGATGAATATATGTGTTGTCATGGCTTTAAATTTGGGAGGTTCTCTCTAAAATAGCTTAAAACATTGCCACACTCAGTATTAAATTTTCCGTTATTAAAAAAAAAAAACAAAACAAAACAAACTCAAGTGTTTATTTACATTGTACACGTGGTTTTGAAATGAAACCGGTATAAAACCTATCAAAATCCCATGATGGATGGGAAAAACATCCTTCTGCAGTCCCCAGGAGGAGCCCTGGCAGTGCCAGGCAGGCACTCATGGGGTGTTGTAACCAGGATCGTGTCAGAACACCCTCGCTGTGCCCTCACACCCTTCCACTGGCAGCCTCATCCCGAGGAAATTAAGGAATCCTGGCAAACTCAGTGTGAGTTTAGGGCCCTTAATAACTATACTTAATAAATGTGCATTCTTCAATTTTTACATCATGTCTGATGGCTGTCAGGATGACATAAGCACCACTCCAACTCGTGATTCTCCTGCTTTAACTACAGATTTGCCACATCAGTTAATTAAAAGTGCCAGGCAAAGGACCGTGCCTTGCAGCACAACCAGGGGAACCAGGAACACCCAGCACCCAAACCCAGCTCTCCCAGTGACTCACTGCATGGCCTTGGGCAACATAGAATATCTTTTCTACCCCTGTCTTTTCTAACTCTTCCTTTGATGAAGCCTTGGGGCTCTGCTGGATCCGTGTTTACCCAATAAAACAAATCTGCAGGCAGGCATTCTGCAGGCACACAGAAATAGGACTAAACATGCAAACCCCTAAGTGGCACATGACTCACTGTTTACACCCAGCCAGAGAAGGAGCCATTAATTAGGGTTAATATTTTAAGCCTTTCGCATCCTGAAGGGCTTCAGACGTTTTTATATATGGATTTGACTCAATCCCTGGATAAACACAACTCCCACGACATGGAGAGCTGCACACCACCACAAGAAATGGCTCCATCCAACAATAGGACACAGCTGTTGTGGCACGAGAGGAGAGGTAGAGATCAGCATCATCAGCCAGAGGGACTCAGAGAAACATGGAATCATTTAGGTTGGAAAAGACCTCTGAAGTTATCGAGTCACACCAGTAACCCAGCACTGCCAAGGCCACCACTAACCCATGTCCCCAAGTGCTGCATCCACATGGCTTTTAAATCTCTCCAGGAGTGGAGATTCCAACACTGCCCTTCTACAAAGGAATTTGTCCCAATATCCACCCCCAGCCTCCCCTGGCCCAGCCTGAGGCCGTTCCCTCTCCTCCTGTCCCTGTTCCCTGGGAGCAGAGCCCAAATCCCCCCGGCTGTCCCCTCCTGCCAGGGACTTGTGCAGAGCCAGAAATTCCCCCTGAGCCTCCTTTGCTCCAGCCTGAGCCCCTTTCCAGCTCCCTCAGGAATTCTCCAGCCCCTTCCCAGCTCCTCAGGAATTCTCCAGCCCCTTCCCAGCTCTGTTCCCTGCCCTGGACACGCTCCAGCCCCTCCGTGTCCTTCCTGCAGTGAAAGGCCCAGAACAGACCCCAGGATTCCAGGTGCAGCCCCAGCACAGATGTTCACCTGGGGTCCTTTAACAGCATAGCTTGAGTCAGGTAAAATAAGTGAAATCTGGACAAAACAACTCCAAAAGTAAAAGAGGAGGAAGCACAAAACCAGCACCAGGTACAGCCCCGGCCACAGAGAAATGGAAACCAAGAGACAGATGACCATAAGCAGGAGGTGTTTTGGTTTGAACCTGTTCATCCACAAAATAAGTGAATGTGTCTCTGTGCTGGCACAGAAAGCAAGTAAATCCCTCCTCTGTTCTGTAATCCCCTTCATTTGTGGATGGAAAGTCAGGAATTTGCAGGAAGCACTTTGCAGTTCAATAAACGGATGAAGAGGAGCCAAAAGTTCTGAGTTCAATTTGAGTTAACCAGTGACAGATCTCCTTCATGCTTTTTATTTTTAGGTGGGAAAGGCACGAATGCTGGTATGGAGCACTAATTCAGCTCTAAGTGTAACTCTGGCAAAACATGCAACTGTCTTGGGAATTGCATTTCTGTTCTGACTAATGAAACTATTCAGCTTTCAGAATACGTTATGGCAAAATAAAAACACCAGTCATGAGCATATAAAAATATAGAATATCATCTACAATCTAGAAACTGCTTGACAGAGAGCCAAAGAAAACAAAAAACCCCAGGCTGAATGCATTACAAGCCTCCAAAAGTATTTCATCTACAGTTAGAAAAGCAAAACTGAGTCTCCTTATCTAAATATGGAGCATGGGAAGCTTGCAGAAAAAAAAGAAGAAAAGGATGAAGTGTTGTTTTGATATGTCACCAGGTTTTCAATTGCCTGGCAAGAGATTGCTGTTCTCCCTTAAAAATAAAATACAAGTGAAATTACAATGAAATAAAATAAAAATAGTAATTGAAAAAAATGCTGGTGCTGGCAGACCCACTGTGGAGATGTATTTTGCTGCATGGGAAGCTGGAACGGCACATTGTCCCCACAGTGAGGGCTAATAGAAGCTGAAGATAGCAGGAAACCATTGCTGCCTAAAATGATGAATAAACAGGAGTTAAGGCCCAAGCTTTTTACAAGCTATTTCATTTCTATGGGTCCTGAAGAATTCTGGAAGCAATATATGGGCTTCCTCAGGCTCTAGAGAGGAAGCAACGTGTTATCCAGCAACAGATTTCAAAGTGAAATAGCATTTTAGAAAAGCCACTTACATCTGGTGTCCAAGTAGTTTATTTTTTCAAAATGTGGGCTATTAAAATATTGATGCATAAGCAGGGAAGTTTGCTTTCCTGCCTCCTCCAGTTTGTACACACGGGGAGGAAAAAGCAAATCCCGTCTGACCACAAAGATACGGAGGCTCATTGCCTCAGGAAACCACCAGGGAAACGAGGGCAGAAGGTCTTGTTGATTTAAAAGTGTCAAACTAAGTGGTTATTAATAAGATGCAGGGGAAACCTTAAGCTGAAGGTTTCAGCTGAAGGGCTGAAATGTCACCACAAATTAGAGATGGGTCACAACCCCACTGCTGCTGCACCAGGCAGATGCCAAATCCTGTCTGGGATAAAGAACCAGGAACTGGCCACACTGAAGAACAAAAATCTTCAGGACCTGGGCATGTGTTGCACGTGTGATTTCAGAGTCAGTGTCTCATGGCTGGTTTTTAAGCATGCTCCTCCCTTCAGTGCCAAACCACAGACATCATTTTTGTGGACAGAGCTCGATTTCCAGGGCTCAAAAGGGTCTCCAGGCAAAAGCCACCTCCACCTTCCACTACTTTGGGCTTCCAGTTTCCATTTGGGTTGGGTTCTTTTATAGTTCTGCCCCCCATAAACCCTGACATTGTCCATTAAACCACCCTAAAACTTCCTCCCCTCCTGCTGGTGTTTATTTTTCAGCAGCTGTATCACACATTCTGATTTAACAAGGTAGTTATTTGCCTTGAGATGAATTCCACAATCCAGCTCTGGCAGCAAAAAAAGCATCTGCTCCCTTTGGAGTGTTGTGCAATAGTTTTGATGGGTTTCACACTCGCTGCAGTGTCACACGTGCCACGCAGGACAGATTATTTATTTGACCAGTCCCTGCCTATGCTGCCAAAATCCTATTTTTTCTAGGGAAGTCTTATAAATTTTGCATGTTCATATCCAAATTGTCTGCAACTGCACTGTTCCTTTCTAGTGATGTGGTCTCCTCCTTGCATTTGGAAGGATATTTAGATTGGATTCATGGCTACCACACTGATTCCAATCTTACTTCCTACTTTCAACACTCCAGCAAACTGCTCTGTGTCACCACAGACATGAGAAACGCTGTTGCTCTCTTTTATAGACTGTAAAAACAAGCACATTTCAGGACTGGAACAACTGCTCCAAGGTTTCTGTTCCTCATTGACTGCAAGATGTTTTTCCATGGAGAATTTAATCAGGGAAACAGTTCATCCTTACTGGTGCCCAGATTTTACCACCTTCTTTCATTTCCTATTGCACTCAGCAAAGCCAAATTAGTTCTAGTAATGTCTTTGACCAGATGTTCACACCTTAAGAGGAAAACAGCACTCATGCTGCTGCAAAATCTGAACAGCTTTAGGAAAACCAGCTGACAGCCTGATCCCATACCTCAAGCCCAGCTCTGTTCCTAACCACAGAGCATTCTTCACCCTTCAGATCCTGCCTTAACATGCCACACAAAAAAGAAAAAACCCTTCTGCATCTTTGATGTCACCTTCAAATAATTTACTCCAATTTAAGAACTTTGCCTCTTGCTTCAGAAAAATTCTTAAGGATGGTTTTCATGCCAGATCCAGATTTTTAAGGGGTCATTTGTACCATCTCCCATTGACTTCTTTAGCCAGCAAGTATATTTCAAATTCAACAAATTATTATCCCGGTGATTTTAGGAAGTGTTTTATGCATCTGAATGACTGAAAGACACTCCAGTACAAAAAGGAAAGCTCAAACACTGAACTTGAAAGGGTATATAAAAATAGCCCATAAAAGTTCAGTCTGAGAATCGATTTCTCAGCTGACCACATTTCCATTTTAACTTTTTTTGTGAACACATAAAGTGTTGGTTTTAATTCTCAAACACAAAGCAATTTTGTCCTGTGAACAGAGGTGCCTCAGGCCTCAGCTGGGACTGGGATTTCCCAGTGCCATGCTACCAGAGCTGGCTGGAAATCCAGGTCTCCCATCCCATTCCATTTTCTCCCAGTCTTCTCAAAATTATCCTGAGCTGCAATGGGAGAGGCCAGGAGGATAACACCACCCAAGGCACTGGCTTGTACAGCTGATAAGAGGCTTCCAAGGGCAGGTCAGACCAATTCCAGCCCTGCTGAGCAGTGGTTTCCACCACAAGCTCACCTGGATGCATTTCCTTTATTCCAAGCTGCTTGCAGGTTCTCCCTTCCCACAAGCAGCTTCCCAGGGCAACCAGGAGCCATTTCCTCAGGCCATCAGATTAACATTCGAGGCCATGTCTGCTCTTTTCCCAAGTCCTCAAGTGATGCACCACATCAGCTCAGTGTCTCCTCTCTGACTGGTGCCTCTCTTCTCTCAAGTTCAGCTTCCTGCTGCTGCCAGTCCTCTCCTTCTCACCACATCTGCTCTCCCCACCACCTTGTGCTTCCAACATGGCAAAAACATTCTTGATATTGTTGTGTTTTCTCTTCCTGGTTGTTGTTCCAGAAGCTTTTAAAAATTAAAAATTTTTTAAATGATAAAGGTGGCAAGGGAGCAGCAGGAGCACTTCATCCCTCGGGTCATCCAAGAGTTCTGTGTTAGCAAACTTAGTCATGAACTCTGGCACAAACACTTCAGTCCTCACTGGGGAATAGGTCTGAACTAAAACAACACTGCAAGATCTACACATTTTTGAGTCATGTGTTTCAAATGAAGCATTCTTGCCCGTTAAACTTGGAGGTCATTAACTGACAGACCAAAGGAGGGGAGCCAACATGAGCAGCACCCCAAACATCCACGTTCAGCTCCCTGCATCTCCATCACGCAGCGCTTCCACGCAATATTCCCCTTGCTACGTGTGCAGAACCATTCTGAGGTGTGCAGAACCTCCTGGCAGCTTTTCTGCTGTGGCAGGAGGCACAATAATGCTGACAGAGGAACATTTGATACGGAGGAAGATCATAGATGGGAAGCTGCTCAGACAACCACTTGCAGTGTAAGAGCATCTTTCCGAGCTGGCTTTAATTTCCATGTTCAAGATGCTCCCCGAGATATTTTCCATTTTAGTATCTACCTCAGCAGGAGACAAATGTATCCTCTAAAAGCCATTTGTGACTTCAATTCAGATGCTCAAGGCAGAGTAGCACAAGCAAAACACCCCCATTTCTTCTCTGAGACAGAGTTATATCAGATAAAGTGTGTGCAAACCAGCCAGCAAACTGGGCTGCTGTTTTTTATTTTGAGGATGCATAAAAAGTGCCATGTAATGCCATAAGAGGTGACAAAATTAACCACTGCCACCCACAAACTCGCCTTTTAAAAACATGTATCCACCTAGTTCATATATTCTCTACAACCCAGCCCAGTAAACAACCTGTTCTTTCCTTCAAACCTGAAAATCAGCAAGAGTTTTTGGAAAGGAGGATGTTGAAGTAGAGGAATTACATGTGTCTTGCTTTAACGACTCACCTGAGAATCTATTTTAATTAGTGCAATGTCTGATTTTTCATCAACATCTTTAATTTTGGCTTCATAAGTCTCCCCATTCTTCAGCTCCACCTTCACCCTGTTCTTGTTGGTGACCACGTGTGCGTTGGTCACTATCAGCCCATCTTCAGAGACAATGAACCCCGAGCCACTGGCAACAGGAACCTCCCTCTTGGAGAAAGGAAGTCTGAAAGACAATGGAAATAAAATGTTTATTGCTGCAAAAAAAAGCTGAAAGGTCACAAATCATTCCAAATAACACCCAGCTCCAAAAGGAGCTTGGTGAGTTTTAATGTTTTAAGATATGTGCTGTTACTCTCATTAAGAAGATAAAGCACATCCATTAGTTTAACTGATTTTTTTTTCCCATGACTCTTAAATTATCCTTAATTCTTTAGCACGACAAATATTTATTATCTCAAAACCCCTTTGCTATTTCATATCATCAATCACCATTTCTGTCATGCTGGCAGCTGTTTTCAAGAATTAAAAAAGAAAAAAATAAAAATCAAGACTGGGCATCTTGTTTACTTGCGAAATAATTCAATGTGAACCACAGCAGGAGCGATCTTCTCCACCACATCTGCAATAAAGTTGTATTTGTGCCTCAGGCTGTTCGGATGTTCTTGGCCTGAAATAGAAACAGAGGACATGTCATGAGTTCTTCAAGTGACTGCAGGAGGGTCATTGCAAAACACCTGAATTAAAAAAAGCTCCGAGTGGGTATCTTTCCCTTCCTTAAAAGTCATCTGCAGCATGACCCTTGGTCCTAGATTTCCTCCCTGCTTCTCTGCACAGAGGTGGAGTGCTTTATGGCTGGAAAAATGATCCATGAAAGCTCCTGGTCTGGAGTGTGCCCCACTGGGCCCTGGGGCAGCGTGGTCACCCCAGTGTGGTGCCCAGGGATGAGGCACTGGAGGAGCACAGGGTTTATTCCCTGTCTGCACCGCCCCCTCTCCCTTTGTGAAAGGGATTTTGTACTCAGATGCCTCCATTGCTGCTCTCCTTTTCTGGATGGTCTACTTAGCCTGTATGGTCTTCTGAGATTAAACAAACGAGCTCTGTTCCTCTGCCAAAATACGCCTTCTTGGAGGTTTTTGAAGTCTCAGGCTGCTGCATTTGTGAAATGCTGAGGACACCGAGGTCCTGACCCCAGTGCAAGCCCTCAGCAGCTGCTGAGAAAGTTTAACTTGGGTACAAGGTTGGGCTTCCTTTCCCACCAGTGTCCCCACACTGACCCAGCCTGGCACCTGCAGCTGGAAGCACCTTCCACACAGCCACACTCAAGGCATCCTTCCCACCGGTGCCCCCTGAGGTCCATCAGCTCCATGGAGGGGTGGATCCCACCCTGCCTGGAGTCACTGAGCCACCCCCAGGGCTGTAAAACAGATATGACAACACAATGGGACCACAAAGCTCTGCATTCCAGGGCTCTGCTGGAACAAAAGCTCCTGGTCCCTGGGTATTCAACAGGGGCCAGTGGGATTTTCAACAGCCACTGGATCCCCAGCTCCCATTGTGACCAGCAGAGAACCTGTCTGCACCAAGAGATGTCTAAAAATCTCTGGGAAAAACTCACAATTCTGACACAGCTTCTCCTCCTCAAGCAGTTCAGGGGCAAAAAAAAAAAAAATTTTAAAATGTCCTTTTTAAAATTGGGAGCAGCTATGCAAATTGTGAGCACCCCTAAGAGTTATTTTGCATTCCTTTAGAGGCGAGGTACGCCCTTTGTATTCATTTCAGTTTTATCCAGTGCATCCATCTCATGTTATCAGGCACAAGCCAAGCCTGGAACAGACTTTCAGGAGTATTAATGTGGTGTGCTGCTCCCATCCATCTTTGCCATTTGACTCCTAAATCCACGCAGGGATTAAAGCAATAAGCAGCTTGTGGGTGCTCTAAGTGCCTTTGACGGTGTAAGAGGACGATTTATTTGCAGAATCACAGGAGACCAAGGCCTATCCCATAAAACCATCCCAATGCAGAAACCCTGAATGCCCTTTGCTACTGGGAAAGCCAGAGAGGAAAACCATGCACATTTTTAAGTACACAAAGGAGGCAATAATGATTTGGGAACAACACTTTTAACGCTAACCAGACTCTGGTGTGCTCCAGGGGCCAGCACGTTCCAGGTGACTTCCCAATGCCAACCAGCACACACTGCCCTCAAGAGAGGGGTGCATGCTCCACCCAAACACCATCTGTCACTCAAGAACAGGGTTTTTTTCCTTATTTATACCCTGTGAAACATCCCAAGGGCGTTTAAATGCAGCGGGCACAGCAGTAACCACAAAATCCACTGTGCTGTTTCAGAAATGTTTATCTGCTTTATGAAGCAGCAACATTGATCAGGAAACTTCTGTCCTCACCTCTCTGTTTTCCTCAAGAGTATTCAGTGCCTTCTGATTTACACATGAGCTGTTGCCCTTGGGCTTTCACCCCACAGAGGCTTGCTGATTGAGAAATATCAATTTACCAAACGATTTATATTCCCTACTAGGGATATTCATTATCAGACAAGTCGTGTCATTGCTGTAAAGCTGGAAATTCCAACAGGGATAGCTTTGGGAAGCTGCTACAATAAGAAATGCAGTTTGGAATGATGCATTTAATGCACTTGCATTAAATAGGTGCTTGGACAGATGATCAGATGGGATTAACGTGGTGCTGGGCTAAAACAGGGCACTGCTGCAGACATCGATCTGCTTTTTGATCACTGCTTAAAAAATGATTTCATCTCAGCTGCAATGCTGTAGACATCCAAAGGTCACATCCTGCCCTTGGGAAAAGAAAATAAAATAGCTCCACGGATGAGGGAACTACACAGGCAAAAGCACAGCTTTTTTTTCATGCCTTCAACCTTTTTTGCTTTTAGCTATTGAAAAAGGATATCCAGGCTGTACATGGTGAGACTGCTAATACTTCACCTCAGAGCTGCCTTCCCTTGGAACTGCAGCCTACAAAAGCCAGGATTTCAGAGGCAACAGTATTTTGTCCATAATCCACCCTCTTATTCAGTCCCAAACTACACAGCAGAGTGAAAAAAAAACTAAAGTTCATAATTTCCTACTTTGAAAAAGTTAGATAATAAATACTAATTCATGGCATACTGACCCAAAAAACTCCCAGCAGCTGGCCACGCCTGCCTATTGCTTATGTATTAGGAATTCCTGCATTGTGTAACACAGTTTTGCAACAGCTCATGAACCACTGCCCATTTAAATGGAAAACATACCTTTTTAAAGCAAATAAACAACAGCCAAAGTGCTAATCCTAGTGAATTCATTGATGAATGTTAATGAAATATTCCTGTGAACTCGTCTTTATCATCAACATAAAATCTGAAGGCTGCAGTAGATGTATTGATAAATGGCAAATTTCTTTTATCAGGGAGATAAGGAACAATGGAGAGCAAAAAAAACCAAATTGCTAATTTGGGATTACTGAGCTCCACATGGGGAGCTGAGAGCTGCACTGATCTTTCCTACAAGAAACCACCTCTGTGTGAAGTTTTACCTCAGATTTGAACACAAACTACCAGGTGGAAGCCCAAATGGCCATAAAAACCCCAACATTACAAATTTAATAGGGGCAAATGCTCATTCCTCAGGAACCACGGGGCAGTTTCCAGCCATCACCAGCCACTGTAGAGGAGAGCAGTGAAACTGAGAACTTCACCAGCTATACTTTCTTCTTCTCTCTTACACATCTATTTTCCAGCTGTACCAATAGCTCAGGGCCTTAGGAGCAGATACATGTTTCCATTTTTGATTTTGGGGGGATTTATTTTTGTGGGGGCAGTGTTTTTTTGCTTTGCTTCTAAACCATTGAGAGTTGGGCTTGAATAAAGCTCTAGTTCCTAAATACCTTCAGGCTCTGACATTCAAATCTTCCCAGACTGCTCCTCTTTCTATTTATATGCTGTGATTGTTGTGTTTTGTAACGTTTTTATTGAACTATTGCACAATGCCCTAAATGCCCACGAGCACGGCTAAGAAACCTTTATTAATGACATTATAAAGATGATTGCTGTGAATTCAGTTAATGACAAAAAAACCCCCCAAAATGTAAATAGGTTATAGCATGAAGAATTCCCAAGGCAACTAATTCTTCAAGGACTTCAAAGGTGTACTGGCTGCCAGCCCTGAAATGAGAAGGGAAATCTCTGCCAACTGGCATTAACAGGGCTAATAATCAGTAAACAGACTGGTAGGAGAGCAAGCCATGAAAAAAAGCACACCCAGCTGTAAACAACTGAAGTAATTTGGTTTCATAAAGAGGAGCCAAAAAGCAAATTAAGATCTGGGTTCTGGTTAGGTCATTACTCAAAGTGGCATCGATGCAATGATGCTCACAGCTCTTACATGCTGCTTTTGGTGGTTATTTTGAGCTAAACTGCAGAGGTGCTTTGGAGATAGAAATCTCACCAAAGTAACCTCTCTTCTGCTGGCAGAGCTGTGTCTGCTGCTCTGGAAGGGCTTCTCTTGGCGTAGAGAAGAGAGCAGGTCTTCAAACAAAGCTTTGGGCACATCTCAGTCAGACATGGGGCTTTTCCCCACCCAGTTTTCACCCTTTTCAAAAAGGGGTTCTGCTCTCCTTCACCAGGACCTTCTCACTGAGGTAAGGAGCAAAGCAATTATCCTATTTAATGGGAATTTTTGTCTTAGGCATGATGAGAGGGGGGAAAAAGGCACATCCCAGCAGCTCTCTCTGTGCCACCTTCGCTGAAGGGCTGCAGCCTAGGGGATAACTAAAGATATTAAACTACCAGGCTGCTGAAAATAGGTGATTATTTCCTCCTGCACTCACCACTTGTTTTAGACACAGAGGGTTTGAAAGCATGGCTTGGGTTTGGGATTCTCTGCAGAACGAAACCAAAAGAGCTCCAGCACTCACGAAACCTCTGGGCTGCCAGAACCGGTCACTACTGACACAAACCACAAACCAAGTTTTACTTGGAGAACTTCCACCCTCCCAAATAAAAATCCAGCTGCTGGTGTTTGTACAAACTTCCATTCATGCCATATGAAAACCTTTGAACCTCTGACTATGGAAACAAAAAAAAAAAACTCCAGCAAAGGTGCTCAGCTCACTGAAAACAGGGGGATCAGCAAGCCCAGCTGGAGATAGACAAGGAAAAAGTGTGGGAATCTGCTGCCACACTTTCTTTTTTTAAATTACAGAAAACTGCAAGCCTAAATATTCCACTTCCTATTCAAGGATAAATTGTGTAATTCACCAAAAAAAGGGTGTTACGCAATGAAAACACTAAGAAAATAAGGAACAACATTCTACGTGTCACAGGCAATTTGCTCAAGAGCAACTCTTAGGTCATTGGAGGGAATTTTGAGAGGTCTAAACCACAGCACCTTGTTAATACAGATGCTATTGCATCAGTTATTTTTTCCCCCTGCATAATCCATGCAGAAACTCAAGACACTTCACAGATTTCTGGGAAGATATTCTGTATTACTGTGACATCCCTAAAAGCAAAAATATTTTCATAGCCCTAAATAATGGTGGAATAAAATGTTTGAAATCTCTCCAAACAGTAAACTGCACATATCTGGTCTTCACTTCAAATATTTCCTGCAGCAAGAACCACTGCAAGATTAAAGTGAGGATTTTAAGTGAAATTGCTATTTGGCATAAATGCACACGTGCAAAGTCCATTTTCATCATCATAATATTTAGATGATCAATTCTTTCTTGGCAGTCTTCAACAAGGACTTTGTATTTTCCCTTCTAATCCAAGAGCAGAAACTCATTCATTTTAATCACAGATTTTAAACAAACCCAAAAGAGCTGCCAAGCTAAACAAAACAGGGAATCTACACAAAGTTCCTAGAACAGAACAGCTCTCAAATTAATGGTAACACAGGACAGTTTTCAGACCAATGTGTGGTCCCTCATAGAACAAAAACACGTTTGAGGGACAAAAGGGAATAAATAAAAGCAGATATTGGCAACACAAGAATGTTACCAATATCTCCCATCTCATCCCTGGCAGTGCCCAAGGCCAGGTTGGATGGAGTTTGGAGCAGCCTGGGGTGGTGGAAGGTGTCCCTGCCCATGGCAGGGGCTGGAATGAGATGGGCTCTAAGTCCCTTCCAAGCCAGACCCCTCTGTGATTGTAAGAATTATCAAGTTACATGGAGAGAATGACATAAAGAGCTCTTGTGTATTTATAAAACAACAACAAAAAGTATTTGAAGAAAATGGAATTGCCAAGCAAAGCCCTCAGAGAACTTTGGTCCAGCCTCTTTAGTCTGGCTTTTTTCTTAGTGGGAATCTTTGGCATCCAGGATTGAGGCTGGCCA